TGGGGACATTCCGGCCTCTGGCATCTGAGATGTCCTCCAGGGAGGTCCTCTCCTTGGGGACATTCCGGCCTCTGGCATCTGAGATGTCCTCCAGGCAGGTCCTCTCCTTGGGGACATTCTGGCCCCTGGCATCTGACATGTCCTCCAGACAGGTCCTCTCCTTGGGGATATTCCGGCCCCTGGTGTCCAGCATGTCCTCCAGGCAGGCCCTGCATTTTTAGACCATACTTCAGCCATGCAGACTTTGCAAGCTGACCTCTGCCTGGCCTGAACTGTCGCCCATGGTCCAACTTCATCCCCAGGGCTGTGAGACCACTTCTGTGCCTCTGATGTGGAGACAGTGGCCTGTGACCCACAGGAGATGGAGCTGGCTGCTTATCTGCCTCCCTGGGTGGGGTCTCAGGTCCTGTGATGCACATGTGCCCCACCTAGCCCCTCCTGCCCCAGGGGATGATGGTGGCAAGCTGCTCTGTCACCCTTCCCAGACTGGCAAGGGCCGGAGGAGAGGGCAGAGAGGGTGCAGGCTTCTGGGAGGACAAGGAACAGCTGGCTCTAGCCTTGTCTGCCTCCCAGCTGGCCTATTTACAGCAGGAACAATGAGCCTGCACCAGAGAGGTTTCCCCAATGTGGGGTCCCTGGGTCAGCAGCCACATCCCCTGGAAGCCTGGAAATACATGTTCTCAGCCCCAACCCAGTCCTGCCCTTTGAGAACCTGGGGGGAGGCCTGTGAGGTTTCAGTGCCCTGGCTGGTTCTACAGACCCCTGGGTGGTTCTGTAGGCCCCGAAGTGGTTCTTACAAGCCCCTGGCTGGTTTTATGGGCTCCTAGATAGTTCTATGGGGCCCTAAGTGGTTCCATGGGCTCCCAAGTTGTTCTACAGATGCCAGGTGGTCCGAAGGGCTCCCAAGTGGTTCTATGGGCCCCTGAGTGGTTCTAGGGGCCCCTAAGTATTTGTACAGGCCCCTAGGTTGTTCTATGGACCCCTAGGTGGTTTTACGGGGAGCTCTGGTGATGTAGTGCCTAAGGCATTTGCCTGCTAACCAGAAGGCTGGTGGTTCAAACCCACTGGCCACCCCTCAGAAGGAAGGTTGAGCAATCTACTTCCACAGTGATACTGTCTTGGAAACCCAAGGAGGGGTTTCTATGAGTCAGATCCGAATCAACAGCAGTTGAGTTTTTTTGAGTTAAGTGGTTCTATGGGCCTCTAGGTGGTTCTATGGGCCCCTGGGGGGTTCTATGGGCCCCTAGGTGGTTTTATGTGCTCCTGGGTGATTCTACAGGCTCCTAATGGTTCTATGGCCTCACATGTGTTTCTTTAGGCCCGTAAGTGTTTCTATGGGTCCCTAACTGATTCTTCTGGCCCCTAAGTGGTTCTATGGGTTCCCAAGTGGTTCTACAGGCCTCAGATGGTTCTACAGACCCTTGCCACAGGCCCTTAAGTGGTTCTATGGGCCCCTGGGTGTTCCTGTGGGCCCCTCAAGGGTTCTATGGGCCCCTGGGTGTTTCTGTGGGCCCCTAAGTGGTTCTATGGTCCCCTGGGTGTTTCTGTGGGCCCCTAACTGGTTCTATGGGCTCCTAAGTGGTTCTATGGGTCACTAAGTGGTTCTGTGGGCCTCTAAGTGGTTCTATGGGCCCCTAAGTGGTTTTACTTAGGAGTCTGCCACAGGGACCCAGGTAAGGGTGGTAGGAGAAGTTTCCAACAGGGAGACAAGCTTGTCTGTTGGTTTGTCCTACCGTGGTGACATGTTGATGTGAATTTTGAGGCTGAGCCACTGGTGTTTCAAACCCAGCGGTATGCACATGGTGCACAGGTATCAGCCCAGCTTACAGACTGAGACAGATTAGGAAGAAGGAAGAGGCCATCCACTTCTCAAAGAATTGGCCAGGGAAAACCTTATGAATAGCAAAGAAACACTGTCTGATACATTACTATGCAACTTTATGAATAGTCCGGTTAGGTTAGAAGGCTCTCAAAATAGGACTATGAAAGAGTTGCAACATCTGAGTAAACCCAGCTTTACTCATATGGAAAAGAGAAAGCTTTCAAGAACTTAATTTGCTGATGTGGCACCACGCAAATTGAAGAGAAACAGCCGCAGACATCCATTAATCATC